AGACTGAGCTACTAGGAGACGGGCGGTGTTCTAAATGACTGGCATGCAAATAATCATCCTCTGTGCTTCCCCAACAACCCTCCCAAGATAGTATGAGTTTTAGTACCATTTTATACATGATTTATTTTGCAGTGATATTAAACCTGCAAATAATAGCTAATTTTCAAGAGTAAATATCAAATTTATAAGGAACACATGGAAAAGGTGGCAGCCCAGTCCAACAGGGTGGTAAGTCAACCTTCTTGTATTGATATGTGTTCTTTCCTCGGTGTGAAATTTTTTTTTTTTTTGGTGCAAGGGATTATACCCAGAGGTGCTTAACCACTGAGTCACATCCCCAGCCCTTTCTTTTTATTTTTTATTTTGCGACAGAGAGTTTCACAAGGTTGCCTCCAGTCTCATTAAATTGCTGAGGCTGGCTTTGAACTTGTGATCCTCCTGCCTCAGCCTCCTGAGCCACAGGGATTGCAGGTGTGGGCCACCACACCCAGCTTGGGATGGGGTCTTGAAAAGATAATTTCAAAATAATGTAAATAAGTTAAGCCTCTCTAAAATCCTAAAGCAGGTCCCTATGTACCCTTGGCACACTGAGAGAGCAATTACCACGTCCAATATTACTTCAAAACAATGATCTGGTTGCGGAAACTGCTAAACATCCACCATCGACCACAGAACAAGTCTTTTCTGCTCCATCTGCGGAAGCCCCAGGTCCGATGCCTAGAGAGCATCTCCACACTCCTCTGTGGAAGGCCCTTCTGTCCCTTGAGGGCAACACCAAGGGCAAAGTCACAATGAGGCTATCAGAAAACTCTCTTCTCCATAAAAGTCACAAGGAAACTGGCAAACACTGTCAAAATAACGTTTCCTGGGCTCAGGAGATGCCCCAAACACTTTTACGACTAAGAGAGCATTTATATAAGAAATAGAGGGCCAGGTCCTGGTCAAACACAGAGACCTTGGTGGCATTTTAACTCGAGGCTACTCCCCCACTCTCCAGCTCTACGATGGCTTTGAAGCATGACGCCACTTTCCCAGTAAAAACCACCAGTGTGGGCACCACAGAGAGGAGAACCCCTCTGGAGACCTTTCCTACCCTCATTCCCAAACCACCCACAGTACACACCTTGTCTGTGGGTTCCCTGGAGCACCCCACTGGCAAGGCTGTATGTGGCCTGGCTCTAGGCTTATCTTCTCCCTGCAGATGTTTGTCAAAAGCAATTACAGGTGACTGTTCACCTGCACAGCTCTCTGAGGCCTGGAGAGCACCTCATCAAATAGCTTAAAGGGGAGAGATGGGCAAGGAGATGACCACAGGGCTTTGGAAGACTGCACCGTGTTCCTGGGAATGCATAAGTATGGCCATGCTCGTCCAAGAGCTGTGCACATGCTCAAAGTGAAGGCAAGTGCCAGGTGCCTAAGGAGATCCCATCACGGGCTGCCCCGAAAGCTGGCCTGTCCAATGGAACGCCACTGAGTCATGAGAAGGATGAACTGACATAGACCACAATGGGGACGGGCCTTAAAAACATCACATTTAGAGAAATAAGCCCGGACACGCATCTGACGATTCCATGTGTGTGAAATGTCCGGAACAGGTGGGACGTGGATCAGTGGCTGTGAAGGGAACAGAGGATGAAGGACGTGGGGGTCGCTGGGCAGTATGGTCTGTGTGGTGAGAGTGACGTGAACGTTCGAGAATTAGCACTGATGGTTGCAGAACCTTGTACACTGAAACCCACTGCATGTTCTGAACACTGAGGCAATACTGTTCCGGGAACAGGCTCGTGCTTTGCCCAGGGTTAGGAGGAGTGCAGGGCTATGTACCAAGTAGACGTGGCCACTGTGACAGTCGTACCAGTGGGAAAGGACCTGGCAGTTTTGGGAACATGGTCAGTAGAGCGAGCCCAGCAGGCATCAATGCCTTGTGAGCAGCGCGGGCTCTCTCAGGATGAGGTGGTTCCACATGTCGTAGCCACAGAGGAATCCTCAGGCCTGGGCCCCAGCGGTCCTGAGTGTTCCAGATGGTCCTTCTTCCCCCTTCTTGTCACTCAGATGGCCAGGGTCTCTCAATGGTAGCTCTGTTAGCTTTGGTCTCAAGGGCCCAGTGAACCCTGGAGAGGACTCAGAGGTAGGGAGGGGGCGAGGATGCACTGGCCCCAGGCACCTCCTTTCAGAAGGGAAGGTGGCAGCCACGGCTCCCATGCTGGGAACCCAAAGCCCCATTGGATCAAGAGAAGGGCCCACAGAGCGCACAAAGGGACAGAGAGAGCCAGAGCCTACACTCCAGCCCTGGCACCACGGACCAGTAACACCTCCACTGCATCCCAGCTCCACTGCATCCCAGCTCCACTAACGACAATAACAACACTAACAGTGGCCGCTGCATTGGAAAGCTTGGCTACGTTCCCGGCATCCGGAGAAGGGCTTCTTGTGGTACCGGATACAATTCCTATAGTAAATTAATGAGGTTAGTTCTATATTTACTTTATTAAGAAGAAAAAAGGCAATAAGGAGTCTCTGACTGAGGTCCAGTGCAGCTCAACAATTCCACCCAGGCCACTGCTCAAGGGTACTCATTGGAGCATTGTGTCCCATGGAGAAGGTGGAAACCTTCTAAACGTCCACATGCAGGGCACAGCTCAGTGGGCACGGTACATACCCACAGTGTGAAATAGTACGTAGCAGAGAACGTGATGAACTGCCTCCATGTGTTACTTAAGACTAGCCCAAGTGCTTCAGCTTCATCCTCTGTAAAACAGATTTTTTCTCCAGGGGTTTATAAGGAAGACACTGATAACTGACTTGTCCACCAGCTGTAGAGAATGGTTGGCCTTCTCTGCCCACTTTGTAGGTGCGGCCAGGTGAGGGACCTAGCCACAGAAGGTGAGTGGGCGGATGCATTCACTTTGAACCAGAGAATTCAAGAATGCTAGTCCCTGTGCCCTCTGTTCTCTGCCATGCTGGTGATGGCCACCCTGTCACCCTGGGTCCCAGAGTAAGGACAATGCAGAGCAAAGCCCCAGGCTGAACTGTATTGGACGTGGGGTGTGGGCAAAATCAACCTCCATCATTTTGAACCATTAGAATCTAGTGGTTGCAAGTAACTTTGGGGCAGGTTATTTGGACTCTCAGAGCAAAGACAAAAATAACTGTAATCATTTCTTGAGTTCTGGCTGGGTCGTTCTCCACCGCAGTGCGGGTCAGCAACTCCGAAGCTCCTTTAGTATCTGGGATTGAGCAAACGACGTGCTGGATACTGAGCGCCAGGGTTCTCGCTGCTGGAAGAAGGAGTTTCAAGGTGAAGAGGAAAGAGAGT